TCAGAAAAAGCGGTCTCACAACGGAAAAAATATGTTTTCGACTTGCCAGTATCAGAACTTCCAAACAATAATGTTAATAGACACAATATCAGCGATGTCAACGATATATAGTCAAGTTAATTTATTCGCAGTTCTTTTCTAAACTTCATTTACACATTGACACAGTTAATCTTGTAAGTTTGTTAATGGTCGACGATTAAACCACATAGCGAGGCTAGTTAGCAAAGCAATTATGCATGTAAATTCGAATAAAGGTGTTTTATAACTGCTTGTTTTGCCATGAAAGAAAAGCTCGCTTATGTTCGCAGAGCGACTTATTTGAGGTTAACTGGGAGTGTGAGAAATAATTTTATCTCGGTCTTTGTGTTCATAGTCAAAGTCTAAAGACCCTTCATGAAAAGTACTGGCTCTCCGAAACTTTGTAGAAGGTTTTCTACAAAGTAAAATCAAATAGTGATCACTGATACATGCATAGGCTGAGGAAATTTGAACAACTGACCAAAAATTTGCACATGGTCAATAAAGTGGTTATAAGTCTGTGAGCTTATAAAGGCCAAAACCGAAAGTTTGTCGTATCTGTAAAGGTTAAGCTTTTGATCCGTAATATTTTCAAAAAAGGTTATCCGTTTCATTCCCACTATTTATTTTGTTATTCTGTTTCGAGAACCCAAGCAAAACTGAGTAAACGAGATAATCTAGCTGCGAAAATAGCTGCAGCGCCCACTTACAGCTAGATTAACTAGATTAAAAGGTACATTTATCTAGCTACATGCTGATAGAAATCGTGTACTAGCTGAAACGGCCACTGCATTGGCCAATTAATGGCGCAATGAATTGCCCGATTAATCGATAGCAACTAGTTGTGCCCAGTTGAAGCTAGATTCTAGCTGAAGCTATATCAAATTTTCATGTATTTCACTGCATCTAGCTGAAGCTAGATAAATGTACCTTTTAATCTAGATGCAGCGCCTGCTTCATGGTTTTTTTTCGTGCTTGGGATGGTTTAACTGCCGTTTAGCACCGTAGTTCGTGACTTTATTCGATCAAACCATTTTAACGGAATATGCGAAAGCGCGATGTGTCTGCTCATGACCAATTTTTGGACTCGTTACAGTCGATTATCGAATTCATATCGTTTTGCATCGCGAAGATCATTACTGCACTTTATGGTTTACGAGCGTCGATACAAGATATTATTTTCATATGGCACTAGACCTGCAGTCAAAGGAATATAAGAAACAATTAGAAGAACATTATTTGTATTATAAAGAAGAGATGTTTAAATACTACGTGTTCCCACTAGAAGGAAAACAAAAGTTAAAGTTTTTCTTGTTCGGTTAACGATTTATAAACCGTTTTAAACATTGTATTAAGGTCAACGAACATATGATCTAACTGTTGTCGTGATGCCATCCTGGCCTCTTCTGACTTGTCATAGCCAATCTCTTGTTTGCCAGCCAGAAATTGTTGATAAGCCTCATTACAAAATTCTTCCACTGACACACCAAAATCACCAAAAAGATTTGGTTTAATAGCTGGTGGTAGGATTTCATATACTTGAATGTTTGTCGATTCGAATTCAAATCTTAAACTCATTGTGAAACTATGAAGAGCTGCTTTTGTTGCAGCATAAACAGCACAGTATGGTGTTGGTATGAATGCCAACCCAGTTGTTACATTAATAAC